GAAGATATGATGTTAGAAAATGGCATCATGTTACAATGTTTGTGCAAGTTAAATAGGAAGGTATAGTACACACACAAAGCTGACAGAATACTGTATATGCAAGAACATGGCTGTACCTTTGACCAGTCTTTAGCTTTGCAGTAACTAATTCAAACATATTTATTTTTACGTAAACCGATATACTCCTGCACTTTAACTGTATCTGCATATTGAAGTATGAATGCTTGTTGTTTGTATGTTGTCTTCTCCTGAATGTTGTAACAAGCTCATGAAATCCCTCTGAGTTTGACTTACGTCGCTGAGCTGCTCGTTGACTTTGCGTGCCTGCGTGTACACCTGCATGTCGGGCAGGCAGATCCATTGGTGCAGTCTCTTGCGGTAGTTGATCTCGCTGACGGAGGACTGGGTTTTGCGGGCGGACAGGATCTCCAGCATGTCTGCAGGGATGTGGTTCTTAGCCTTGGTCTTCTCATAGTCCTCCTTGTACAGACGCTATAAATACAGACACCAGATGGTTGGGTATGTTATCAAGAGCTTGGGAGTGTTCGATATTATTAGGGATCACATTTAATGGAACTTAACAAAGTTAGCTTATTTTCTTATTACATTTCTTTAATGAACTGCAATTATATTTCCATTTAATTCACATGTTCGTTTTCGTTATGCATTTTCTGGACGTCTGTTTTTTTGGAATAGTTCAAACTGAATTTTCCTCCGTCCAAAAAACCAAAACAAATTAAATGTAATTATTTCTTAAGTTGAGAGGAGGTTGGTTATATCAGCTTGTGGCTGTTTGACCTCTCCTGATATACCAAATATTTACATTATCTTGAATTTCATGCTTCTAATGGGTAAAACATTAAATAATGTAATGATACAATGATATTTTAATGCACAAAACAACACAGTTTGACTCATTTAAGCAGCTTGGTTTTTCAAGTAGAGTTAATCTTTCAGTCTTCTCTGACTAACAATAATTCAGACACACAGTGTGAAGAAAAAGCCTGATCAATGTCACTTACATCAAGCACCAGCTTTCCGGCTTTGACGCAGCGAGCGGTGGCGGGATCGTCCTCCAGACACTTGGGCAGACTGTAGAGGGACTTGAACTTCTCGTAGTCCTCCTTGTACTTCACCTAAAAGGGACAAAAGCACATTGTCTCTTAAAACAGTCCACTTATATGTGAAGAAAAAACCTGCAAAGTTATATTACGTAGAATGAAATAAATGAATTACCTATTTCTTGTGATAAGAAAAGCGATCATTAAGCAAATGACAAGGAATCGAAATATATGTAATGGAGAAAACAACTATTAGAATTATAGAAATGAAATGCATATCTTTAAGGATAGGTGGGTAAAGTGTAATGCAGATTTATAAGGAACATGAGGTAAGAATTCACAATTACTTATTTGTATTATTATTACCATTATTATTAATATTTCATTTCGGGTGTGTCAGCTGTTATTTAGTTAAGTTATGTTACCTACATGTGTTTATTTTGTGATGTAAGCTTTGTGAATAATTTCTTAAAATGCAAAAACAAATGAAATAACCAGAAGTTAAACTCACGCCGCTGAGGATAACTTTCTGCAGTTTGGCGTGTTTCAGAGCGTGAGAATCGTGAGGAATCTGGTAGCTCTTGTCTTTGATTTTGTCCCAGGCGGCAGTGTAGTTTTTCTGTGGAAAGCAAAACAAAAACACGTTATCAACATGCTATTTAAAGCAGATCTTCAATCAAGTCACTGGATTAAAGGGTCGTCACTTACGCTGCTGAAGTAGTGCTTGAAGTTGCGGCACTTGGCGTAGTCGTAGGTATCCAGAATGGTGGTGTACAGGTGCTTCTCCTTATGATAGGCCTCCCTGTAGTTGAGCTGTTAAAGATAATAGTTTAATTAACACACTCATTTAGATATATACAGAACATGTCTCTGATTGGCTGAAACACCAAACAGATCATTGCAGCATTACCCATAATCCCCTCTGTTTCATTCCTGTTTCCAAAGAGCTGATTCTCTGTCTGTTATTTTAGATGAAAATAAGGAGCCCCTCCCCACGCCCCTCTGAGAGAGATTTGGTTACAAAGAACATAATGGTGCTCTAGGAGGAGATTCTGGTGATAAGGTGGGGGGGGGGATACCTTGGTTGCTGATTGGCTAATGGTTACACAAGCCAAAAAAACGTTATGACATCATAAAGTGGCCAAAATCTGATCAGCTCATTTTCAGACAGGTTTTTATAGAAATGGATCAGGACAAAAAGAGAGAGAATCTTTGTTCCTGAAACTTTCAGAGTCTCTTTCCACAGAGGGGACACATGTTGATGTAGAAGAGACATGAAGAAGAGGGGACACATGTTGATGTAGAAGAGACATGAAGAAGAGGGG